GTCTGAGAGTTTGTATTTCTAATGAGTTCATAGGTAATGCTGACGATGATCATCAGGGATCACATTTTAAGAATCACCATCCTTGGCAAAAAGAAAATTTGCAGGAGTGGTGATTTTATCAGGTTCAAAAACCACAGGCAAAGTCTTGCTTTGGTGATCCGCATTCTGCCAATAGCCTTGACGGCTGCTGTGGAGCCCCCTCTCCTGCAGCGTCTCTGATATCTGATGAGACCAGAGGCTTTTCTGCAGAGCAAACTCCAGCTAAGCCCTCCACAACTATACACTGAGGGTGTGCCCACTGTAGACTGGTTTCTTCTTTCAGCTTTAACAGAAGGCTTAACCAAAACAAGTGATACCTTTTTTTTTTTTTTTTTAACAGTGATTCAGAGCCCATCTTTTCCTCTTTACATTTAACACTTCCCTCTCTACCCCCCAGGCTCCTGCCTGCTAGCTAAATTGCTGGGAGTTAACATTTGTTTTATGTTAAGAATTTTGTGATACCCCCTCCGTGTGGGTTTGGCAATCTCCAAATTGGAATTTTTGCCAGAAGCCAGGCTTTGTCCCCTCCATTTCTCCCTGCTCTGTTTCGGCTGCTAAGGCTGTTGCTGTTAAGTTTGTATGAATCCACAGGGGTTTGTTCTGGCTGGAAAAGTATTCCCAGCTCCCCAGCCTACCTCCTAGGGCCCTCGGGCGCCTGAGTCCTGAGTCCTGTGGAGCTGCTGCCTGGGGGAGGTGGGCAATAAGAGTCATTACTTTGAGGAAAGTTAGAAAAGAACAATCAGAGTTTTACAATCTCCATATCAGCTTTCAGTAAAAGTAAACCCTCATAAGGGACCTTTTCTGATGAGTAAGAAAACAAACACCCCTAAAAGGAGCTGGCTGGCTTTGGCTGCTCTGGGCTGCAGTCTGGCCTCCCTTAGGACTGGGTTCCTTTCCCACCATTTCTAGCAGCCACAGAAGCCTTGACTCTGCCCTCATCATCGGTTTAGGGTAGCGCTGCCTGAGACTAGTGCGGCAGGACAAGCAGCCATGTACAGGTGCTGGGGTCCCCTCTCTCTGCCGCCCCAGGGCTGGGGCAGCCTGGGGACCCAGAGAGCTAGTGAGAGGCAGATCTGATCTCCCTACTTAGCAAAGTACATCCAGTACATGCTGTTCTCCCATTGGGACAACCTTATGCAACCACTGATGTATATGCAGTCGGATGTTGCCCGAACAGATGTTAAGTGATACATACCTGCATTTCCAAATAAAGCTATTTTCATAGGTACTGGGGTTAGGACTTGAACATATCTTTTTGGGAGACACAAGTCAACCCCTAGCCTGCTGTAAAATAATTTACATAAATCAATACTCTTAAACCTCACAATAATCCCACGTGGTAGTTACTCTTATAATCCCCATTTTACAGATGAAGAAACTGAGGCAAAGAGGAGTTACATAATTTGCCTAAAATCACACAGCTAGTGAATGCAGACCGGGGTCTGAACACTGGTAGACTGACACTGGTGTCCATGCTCTTAACTACTAAACCATGCTGCTGGGTTTGCTCCACATCCAGGAGTGGAATTACTTCCTTCCCCTAGTATGGGGAGCAAGGAGGAGAAAGTGCTCCACAAAGCTCCCATTCAGGGGCAGTAGAGAAGCTACATCCTGGGTCTCCCCTCCAGGAGCAGAGGGAGAGGAACAGAGCCAAAGCACAAGAGCCCAGGTGAGGACAGAGCTAGATCCAGGACATTTGCATACTTTACATACTCCTAGGATCACAGTGGAACCCTGGTGGCACAGTGGTTAAGGGCTGTTCAAATCCACCAGCCGTTCCTTGGAAACCCTACGGAGCAGTTCTACCCTGTCCCACAGGGTTGCTATGTCGGAATCGACTCCATAGCAACGGGTTTTTTGGTTTTCCAGTGTGTATGCCTTTTATTTTTTTTTATTGTACTTTAGGTGAAGGTTTACAGAACAAATAATTTCTTATTAAACAGTCAGTACACATATTGTTTTATGACACTGGTTAACAACCCCACGACATGTCAACACTGTCCCTTCTCAACCTTGGGTTCCCTATCACCAGCTTTCCTGTCCCCTCCTGCCTTCTAGTCCTTGTCCCTGGACTGCTGTGTCTCATTAGTCCTGTTTTGTTTTATGAGGCTGTCCAATCCCCGGCTGAACAGTGAACTTTGGGAGGGGCTTCACCACTGAGCTAAAAGGGTGTCCGGGGGCCATACTCTTGGGGTTTCTCCACTCTATCAGGCCAGTAAATCTGGTCTTTTTTTTGTGAGTTAGAATTTTGTTCTACATCCTTCTCCAGCTCTGTCAAGGACCCTCTGCTGTGATCCCGGTCAGAGCAGTCAGTGGTGGTAGCCGGGCACCATTTAGCTGTACTGGACTCAGTCTGGTGGAGGCCATGGTAGCTGTGGTCCATTAGTCCTTAGGACTAATCTTTTCCTTGTATCCTGTTAATTTCATTCTCCCTAGCTCCCGAAGGGTTGAGACCAGTGGAGTATCTTAGATGGCTGCTAATAGGCTTTTAAGACCCCCAGATGCTACTCACCAAGGTAGAATGTAGAACATTGTCTTTATAAACTGCGTTACACCAATTAAGCTAGATGTTCCCTGAGACCATGGTCCCCACAGCCCTCTGCCCAGCAATTCAGTCCTGCAGGGAGTTTGGATGTGTCTATGGCGCTTCCATGACCTTTCCTTCTACAAGTTGTGCCAGCTTCCCCAGTATTGTGTACTGTCTTACCCTTCTCCAAAGTTACCACTTATCTATTGTCTATTTAGTTTCCCCCCCACCCCTCCCATCCCTCGTAACCAACAAAGATCGTTTCTTTTTGTGTGTAAACTTTTACATGAGTGTTTACAGTAGAGGTCTCATACAATATTTGTCCTTTTGTGATTGACTTTATTTCCCTCAGCATAATGTCCTCCAGTTTGATCCATGTTGTGAGATGCTTCACAGATTCATCATTGTTCTTTATAGTTGCATAGTACTCCACTGTGTGTATGTACCATAGTTTGTTTATCCATTCCTTTGTTGATGGGCATCTAGGTTGTTTCCATCTTTCTGCTATTGTGAACAGTGCTGCAATGAATATGAGTGTGCATATGTCTATTCGTGTGACGGCTCTTATTTCTCTAGGATATATTCCTAGGAGTAGGATTGCTGGATTGTATGGTATTTCTATTTCTAGCTTTCTAAGGAAGCCATATCATTTTCCAAAATGGTTGTATCATTTTGCATTCCCACCAGCAGTGCATAAGAGTTTCGATCTCCCTGCAGCCTCTCTTTGTTATCTTCAGTGTTTTGGATTCATGCCAGTAATGCCGGGGTTAGCGGTATCTCATTTGGTTTCAATTTGCATTTCTCTAATGGCTAGTGATTTCGAGCATTTCCTCATGTGTCTGCTGGCTGCTTGAATGTCTTCTTTGGTGAAGTGTTTGCTCATTTCCTTTGCCCATTTTTTAACAGGATTATTTGTCTTTTTGTTGTAGAGGTGTTGGATTTTCTTGTAGATTTTAGAGTGCCTTTTATTTCTTTGTCTTGCCTAATTGCCCTGGCTAGAAGCAGTGCAATGTTGAGTAGAAGTGCTGAGAGTAGATATCACTGCCTCACTCTCGATTTTAGGGGGAAAGCGTCCAGTCTTTGAAATTAAATATGATGTTAGCTGTAGGTTTTTCATAATACGCTTTTTGAGAATACTTGAGAAACTTAATTATTTTTATAATATCTTTTAAAGAACAGCAGAATTTCTATTTGCAATGTTTCTATTTATCAAAGTCTTTATTATTAGTCAAAATGATTTTTAGAGCACATATCAGGTTAAGGGAAGAAAATTAGGAAAAGTGTTTTGAAGCAGGTGTAGGTATGGGACTTGGGGGTAGCAGAAAAGCACCAGGCTGTGGTGGGTTTCTACAGGGAGACCAGGAGAACATCAGCGCCCTATAGCCAGCATGGGGCCTCGAGGCCCATGGGACGGTGCAGGCGGCTGCAACTGCACTCGGGGCAATACTTCTTCAGTGTAGCCAGAGTCAGCAGACAGCTGGTGGATTTTATGAAAACTAGAAGGCTCCATTTCAAAGTCTCACTTTAGGAGTAATAAAACTTGGGCTTAAAATGAAGGCAGTGTTGGTCTAACTCTTAGAAGATGTGTTCCATTCCAGTGTCTGGGTTGGCAATGTGGCGTTTTATTACGATATTTGGCTAAGGTACTCTCCTTTATGGGAACACAACTACTTCAGTGCTAAAGCTTTGCTCAACCTTTGCTCCAATTCCTGCTTCTGCCATCACCTGTCTCATCTCACTGGTGTGCGGTTCCCTCAGTTACAAGGTTAAGCCAGAAACCTTCCTGAACTACATCCAACTGAACACTCCCAGGGTAAAGTTCTCCATTTTTACCCAAACCCCTCCTACAATCAGCGTCCCACAAATGGGGAACAGGACAGTTTTACAGATTTGGGCGCTTGCCTCAAATACTTACTTCATCACTCTAAGCCACAAAGTGACAACAACTTATCTTTTACTAAATGAAAATCAGCTTTTTAAAGGAGAGGGGATTTTGCCTTTAAGCTCTCTCTCTGCCCCCAAACAAACAAGTAAGAACCAGCTTGGACAATGGTGACCTCTACCACTTGCATATTGCTCTCCTCAAAAGGAACTCAGTTTCACAGCTGGTGTCTTCTTTTTCTGCATCAAGGATGGGACAATAATGAAGAACTCATGGATCAGCTCGGAGCCATTGCCCAATGTTTCATTAAAATCCTTAATTGGCTGACTGTGCTCTTCATCCAATTTTCCTCATACAGGGTCCTTTATTTTACATGGCAAAACTCAAGGTTTTAATAAAAGAGTAGCACACAAGGGCGGTGAGGTAAAGGGCTGGTCTGACCAAATGAATTCTCTGAGTTCCAAACATGGAGTGGGAGCTCAGAACCTCTGAGGTGGCACCCGGAGTCCACTTTTCATACTTAAAGCTCCCCGGGAAGCTGTCTAGCCTTACCTCTATCTCCAGATGTTTCCACAAAGGAACAGGCCTCAGAATTATCTCCAGGCAGGGCAGCTGACCTCCTGAGTCCATATCAAGCCCAACAGAGACACGTAAGGGCATGGAGGGAAGCAACACAAAAGCAATTCCTTGTTTCCATTGTGGGAGAGAAACAGGAGAGTCACAGGATTTCTTTGGGCCCATCCTACATTGAAAAATGCCAGTTCTGGTCACCGCTACATTAAACAGACGATAAATTCTCTTTGAGGGTCAAAGCTTCAAATGACAGCTAGATTTTTAAAAGAGTATGTGGAAATTTAAGAGAAAGAATAAAAGCCTAGGAGATAAAAAGTAACTTCTCCCTCATAATTACATTGCATATTCAATAGATATTTCTTCAAGGGCTAAACGTGAAACGTTAGTTAATAGGAAAACCAAAAAACGCCTCAAACCTGTTGCCATCAAGCCAATTCCACTTCATGGCAACCCCTTATGTGGAGAGCAGAACTGCACTTTGTAGGGTTTTCTAGGCTGTGATCTTTCAAAAGCAGGTTTCCAGGCCTTTCTTCCCAGGTGCCTCTGGGTGGGTTAGAACTACTAACCTTTCACTTAGTAGCTGAGCACTTAACCATTGCACCATCGCAACAAGAGCATTATTTATCCAACGCTTGATTACTAACTCAAGCCAGGTGAGGAGGAAGAAGCAGGCAGGTCCTAAAGTGGGTCTTCTCCAGTTAGCTCCTTAATCCCAGGACCTCATATTGCTCAATTCCTCATCAATGTTACTGGCGGAATATTTGCAAAGTGGAAACTGACTCTAATTTCGGGGGATGTAAGAGCTGTCCCTTTAAGAGATAAATGTGCTATCATCCAAATATATTCAGCTTTAGAGTTAAATAGGTACAGTTTGGCCATATACAATATTCAAGTTTCAGATGTCATTTTAATTCCACACGTTGATGAATTGTTAGTACTGAAGACAACTGTTTAATCCATGACTGTGCTGGCTGGTGGGTCAACATGTTGCTCAAGTCCAAATGAATGGCTCTTGGTTACGGGGGACAAGCCTGCACTGACAAATAACCTCTGATGAGATCAAAATAAGCAAATTACTTGTTCTCTTTTTCTCTGGAGTCTGACTTCAGGCATTAAACACACGTCTGAGTGGAACTGAATCTCCCCTGGGAAAAACTGGCAATTCTGCTCTTCAGGAATCTAAGAATACTAGACTGTAACGAAACAGAACAAATCTTAGGTTCCCTTGCCAGGGCGATGACAGACTTTCCCAAATAGATTCTTGGTGCAAAAGGCACCATGGGTCAAAGTCTGCTGACTTGTTGAAGCCTAACCTCGAAGTTTAGGACACAGGGGGCCATGCTGGGTCACCTGGAGCTGAGCCTCCCAGGAGATGTGATCTCAGGGACAGCCCACAGGATATTTCCCATGGTCTGAAGGCTACAACCTCAGAGGGCAGGAAAGAGAGTGGGAAGAGGCCATAAACATAGAAAGAAAAAAGAAAAAGGACTTAATTTCTCATAGCTATTCATTAAACAAACCTGATTTCATAAACTCCTTGTAGGATGCAGGACAAACCACTTTACGTATAGAATGCTTGTCCTAAATCCATGCCTACCACCTTCTTCAGTATTTCCTTGGGATGATTCCTTCAGTTATTCATCCCCTACTGAATGCTAGGTGCAGGGCTACAATGGTGATCAAGGCTAAGAAAGAAAGTACTGACCTTCCAGAATACAGTCCAGTAGGGGGAGACAACATCAAAAGAGGGCCATAACACAGGAAGGTAACAGACTGGGATCAGTGCCATGGAGGACATATAGCGATGTGAGAGAGAAAAGAACACAGGCAGAGATAACAGCACTGACACAGACTAGAGAAAAGCGGTAGAAGATGTCAAATATTATTAATACTTATTAACACATATATCACTTACTATGTGCTAAATGCTCTTCTAAGCATTTTAACTCATTTAAATCCTTATAGCATCCCTATATTGTTGTCGTTAGATGCCGTTGAGTTGCTTCTGACTCATAGCGACCCTATGTACAACAGAATGAAATGTTGCCCAGTCCTGTGCCATCCTCACAATAGTAGGTATATTTGAGCCCACTGTTGTAGCCAATGCCATCTCATTGAGGGTCTTCCTCTTTTTCACTCACCCTCTCCTTTACAAGCATGATATCCATCTCCAGAAGAGGAAACATCAGACAGATTAAGTAACTTGTCCAAGATCACACAGCTATCACAGGGCAAAGCCTGGTATCACACACACCCAGGCAGTCTGGCTCCAGGGTCCATGTTCTCAAACCTTGACTATACTGCCTCTCAGTGAGTTTGGAGAGCAAGTCTGACCACACTTGACCTCTTTTGAAACTTTTCTACCTCCCCAGATCCTCTCCTGAGCATAAAATACATTAACAAGAATAAAGAACTAATAATTAACTCCAAATCTGAAATTGATTAAAGCCTGAGATGTTTCTAACTGGAAGCAAAGGAAAAAAAAAAAAACAAAAAACTTGGGAAAGGTCCACCAAGGAGCATTTTCTTCTTAATGAGCACTGCAGTAAGACAAAACAGTAGCTATTACAGAAAGGAAAAAACCTCCTCCAATCTTTCATAGCATACAATTTGCAAGAAGCACAGCCACAAAGAAATCTGCACTCCATTTTGTCTACATCCCTATTGCCACATACCTGTGCCTTAACTGGCATTACACAGGCACCTAGGGCCCAGGGCTGGATTACCCAATAAGCAAGCTATGCAATGGCCCAGTTGTGCCTTCCCACCATATCTGCAGTGCACAATTTCATTTGTCCCCCACAACATCCAAGATGTGGTGAAGCCCATGTGAAATTGCTCACTACAGATTAGCAAGTAAATACAAACAAGCCCGTGCGTACCTTGTTCAATGCAAACCAGTACATACTGTGTTTACTGGTTAATCTGCCCCTGCTAGGGCCACAGGACATGTGATGGTTAAGGTTATGTGTCAAATTGGCTAGGCCATGATTTTCAGTAGTCTGGCAGATATTATGTAATCATCCTCCATTTTGTGATCGGATGTGAGCAGCCAATCAGTTTCCTTGGGGGGTGTGGCCTACATCCAATATATATGGATGTTCTGGCAAAGCTCTCTCACAGCCAATCAGTTTCCTTGGGGGGTGTGGACTACATCCAATATATATGGATGTTCTGGTAAAGCTCTCTCTGGATCCTGCATCTGACTTTGTCACCCTCTGACCTTAGGTTCTTGGGAAGTGAGTCAGCAGCCTGCCACTTGACCTGCAGATCTTGGGGATTTGCCAGCTCCTGCAACCCGGTGAACCATCAGCCTTCCACCTGACCTGTAGATTTTGGGTTCCTAGCCCTGCGACCACCGGAGAGTCAGGAGAAACCTCCATCCTAGCCTGACCCACAGATTTGGGACTTGCCAGTCTCCACAACTGCATGAGCCGTTTCCTTGAGATAAATCTCTCCCTATATATACACCACTGGTTTTGCTTCTCTAGAGAACGCAGCCTAAGACAACAAGCCACGATTTCCAGAAGAGGGGGGAAAAATCTGGAATGAGTCATATTGACACCACTCGGATTTTCTGTCACAGGCTATGTGGGCTGACTGTAGTTAATTCTCAGCAGCTGCTGCATCCCTGCTAGGGTACCAATGATCCTGAAAGAAGGAACCATCTAGGTTGCTGGCTCCTGCCTGAAACAGGGTCTGACTCTTTCATGCCCATCTGTTCTCAGAATGATGCTGTGACAGAATCACTTGCCTTTCTCAAGCTGGAGAAATAAAACATCACTTATTTAATAAAAAAAGCGTCAAGAAAGGCACCGAAATCTTAGATTCCAAATTCCAGTTAATGATCAGGTCAGCTGTAAAAGAACTCAGAGGGGAAGAGGGATACTTTTGATTCCAAATGCTGAAATCCTTAAAGCTATCTGCAAATGCATTTGGAAGATAGCACAATTTTCCTGTCTCCTCATTGCTGCTTCTTTCCCCACAAAGATATGTAGGTAGACAGACACTGTAAGAGATAGTGAGGGAAGCTCAGTCGGGAATTTTATTTTACATAGTAAATACCTGATAACTGATAAATTCTCCCTGTTCAGGAGAATGGTATACTCATAAATAGTATACCATTTGAATTCAGTTGCAAAAACAGTAACAGTATATTGTTCTAACCAGATATTGCTTACATCAACTAACTGGCTGATGATCAGTTGGGGTCAGCAATGGTGATCTGAATGTAGATTCAGGATATTTAAGTATAAATATAGGCTCTGCCCTATAGGGTCGCTATGAGTCGGAATTGACTCGATGGCAACGGGTATTGTTTTTTTTAATACATCTAGCTGTATTTAAATACATTATTTCCTATAAGCCACTGCCGTCGAGTCGATTCCAACTCATAGCGACCCTACAGGACAGAGGAGAACTGCCTCATAGGGTTTCCAAGGAGCAGTTGGTAGATTTGAACTGCCAACCTTTTGGGTAGCAGCCAAACGCTTAACCACTGAGCCACGACGTTACTTTTTTGAAGTGAACAATGCAGTAGCATTTAGTATATTTACAATGTTGTCCAATCATCACCACTACCTAGCTGCAGCACACTTTCACCACCCCAAAAGGAAACCCGTGCCCATTAAGCAGTCATTCCCCACTCTGCTCTCCCCTAAATTCATTTCTGACAGGTTGTTCGTCATCCACCTCTTTGCCGTCCTCTCCAAGGGCATTTCAGCGTTTCTCTGCATAACGGGCAAAGTCCTGGATGTTTTTTCTCTGTGCTAATCGCCAGGTTAGGGCTTTCCCTTTCAGGTCGGGGCCTCCTGGGCACTCTAGGCCAGCAGGAGGAAGTCTAAATAAGGGGGAGGACTGCCCTCCCCAGCAGAGTCTTGCTCTTTAACCTAATGAAGCCCCAGATATATAGTAAAATCGGTTCAAAAAAACATTGCTCCACAAAGGTTTCTATTTCTCTAACATCATATCAGGAGGAAAAGCCCTAACAGACCATCTTTCCAGGGGTGAAAGTATTTGTCTGGATTTCAGATGTTAGTTTCAAATTTAATTCTTGCGGGAGGATAACCATTCTTGATGCCTTGATTCAGAGAATATGCTCTCATTACTTATTTCACTGAAATAAAACATAGCCTGTAACACTGACCAATGAACTTGGTGCTTTCAGGTGGCACCTGCAGGCTCCAAGTCATCTACAGATTTTCCGAGAGGAAATCCTTGCTCCAGCTCTCACACACACAGGGAACCCCAAATCTGCAGCAATTCCACATGACCACGCCTAGACCCACAGCACTTGTGACTGTTAGGTGCCGCAGAGTTGAACCCGACTCATAGCGACGCTATAGGACAGAGTAGAACTGCTCCTTAGGGTTCCCAAGGAGCGGCTGGTGGATTCGAACTGCCGACCTTTTGGTTAGCAGCAGAGCTCTTGACCACACGCCACCAGGGCTGCTGTAAGTGACTAAACAAAACAAACAAACCAAACCCGCTGCCGTCGCGTAGATGACTAGGCATCTACAAAGCAGTGTTTCCCCACCAAGACTCCTCCTTTCCCCAATTAAAGGGATTAAAGCCCCAACCCCTTTCCTACCCACTCTCCCATCTCTGCTTTTTCCTTTTCCTCCTTTCCCACACTCGGCTTCTCCCCTAAACTACAAAGTAGGTAGTAAACTCGTGACTCCCAAGAAAATTTAGCAGAAGCCACAACTTCAGGGAATAACTCACCAAGGACTCTTTAGTTCCTACTACTGCCCTAAAGCTGCCCCACCTCGTTGGCCCTGGGCCTCCCAGTAACGACACCAGATAAAGAGGGAAATTCTCTGAAAAACCAAGGCATGAACTGAAGTGAAGACCCCTCCCCTCTCCTGCGGCATCTGCCGCATATAGTAAATGACCCTCTTAGAGGTTCCAATTCAAACGGACACACGTTTCTATGAGGCAGGAGGAAAACAAATACAATTCCCTCCGAGGCGGTTCCTAGCAACACATCCACACCCGCAGCAGGCGCAGCGCTCTCAGGCCATTTTTAAAACCAATGCCACCGACTAGGCCTGCACAGCCTTGCCCCTGCAGTGCCGCCCCGCCCATGGTCTGCACCAGAGCTGCAGTTGGCAAGGTCAGGTGGGCTCCAGGAGGCAGGAAGAGACCCCCGACCCCCGGACTGCACAGCAGGGGGAAAGGAGGAGAGGAGAGGAATCAAGGAAGGGTTGACCTTGAGACTCTCCCTGAGCTATTGATAGCGAGCGTTCCAAACCCACTCCAGCAGGGGGAGGATGCAGGGCAGGTGGAAAACAAAGGGCAGGAAAAGGCAGAAAGCAAACCTGCTAATAAGAAGCGAGAGAGCACGCAAGTTCCTATTCAGCTCGCGACGGCTGGGGTATGGCTGATGCTCAGCACAGAGGGGTGAGGTGAAGCGCCTGACAGGACCGGCGCTGCTAGCTGCCCACAGGTGCAGGCACTTAACGTGGATCACCTTCTCTCGGCTGCTGCCGACCGCAGCTGCGCAGCGCAGTGTGGGTGTGGTGCCCTCTGCCTGGGGCGGGGCGGGGCAGTGCCGAGAGGAGGCCCCGCCCACGCCTGAGTGTCGCGAGGCCACGCCCCCAAGGCGGGGCTCTTCGCTTAGGGCGCGCTTTGGCGTGTGTTAGCTCAGGGACGGTGGTTGCGAGAGAGAGGTTGGATATTCTTCCTCCGCTTGGTCGTTCAGTGATTTACCTCTCATTCCCAAATCCATATACCTATTCCCTTCCCCAGGTCCCGCGTGGACGCCTTCCTAAATTGTCCCAACCAATTAATACTACTCAGGTTGGATTTGCAGAGCAGCGACTGCTTTGCGCATTATTAATTTAGCCCCAGCAGCGCCACCGTAGCTTGGTTCTCGGCACTCAGCTGTCGGGGGAGGAGGCTCTCGTTTGCAGGTTTTTACGGCGCCTGCGCGGAAGTTCGAGCCGTTTGGCTCTGTTTTGGTGTGCTCGGTCTGCGGG